GGCTCAAACCCACCACCCTGGGTATATGGGGCTGGTGCCCTACCCACTGAGCCACAGGCGCTGCCCCGCCCTGCTATTTTTGGGGGTGTCGTTTAGCAGGCCCAGCCCAGGCTCGAACCTGCCAGCTTTGGTGTATGTGGCCAGCGCACTACTCACTGAGCTATGGGAGCCGAACCCCAAAAAAAAAAAAATTCTTTACATTAACCTAATAATGGTATTTTCTATGAAGTTTTAAATATCCTGAAAAGTAATAGAAAACCATGTGCTATCCCCCAGCTATTAATGGAAGAATGTTTGGAAATCTGCAAGGCCTCACGATGCACGTGGGTGATGAAGTCAACTGGTATCTGATGGGAATGGGCAACGAAATAGACTTGCACACTGTCCATTTTCATGGCCACAGCTTCCGGTACAAGGTAAGACCCATCCATGGCAGATATTCTTGCCCTATTTTAAAATGTTTTAATACACATAAAGAAAATATTTTTTCATGGAGATTTATGGAAAATCGAAAACTGGAGAGACTACAGCCAGCCCTCCATATCTGCAGGCTTCTTATTCATGGATTCAACCAACCATGCATAGAAAATATTTGGAAAAAAAAAATTTCAAAGTTCCAAAAAGCAAAATCTGAATTTGCTATGCCATGCACTATATCGAATCCACCTAAATGAAGCGATGTGTAGGCACTCTACTAGGTATTATAAGTAATCTAGAGATGATTGAAAGTTTATGGGAGGATTGTGCTGGTTACATGGAAATTCTATAGCATTTTATACCAAAGACTTGAGCATATGTGGATCTTGGTATTCTGGAGAAGGGGGTGGTCCTGGAAGCAATTCTCCATGGATATCGAGGGATGACTGTATAGGGAACAGCAATTCAATTAACATACCAGCCTGCGTTACACCCTGGGCTCTTCCTTGGATTTGTACTTTTCACTTTGAATTTTCATGGAGTTCTGCTCACACGTTGCTAAGATATTTGAGTGGAACTGCTGGCAGAGAGGTAGGTTATGTTTGATACCGGAATTTTGTCTTCAGTAGGTTCTTGGTCTCAGTGATTTGAAGAATAAATCATGGACCACAGATCAGTGATATGACAGGATTTATTTACACAAAAGAATACAAAAACACGAAAGCTCACGGCAGGGAGAGAAAACCCATGTCAGGAGAGAAAAGCTCTCTGTCTGTCTCTGTCTCTCTCCCTCTGGGCTCTTTGTCTAGGGGCATATAGGTGCATGGGTTCCTTGCATGAGGCCAGGAAATGAATGGATACAGTCCTTTCCATTTGGGCAAGGTGAATGAATGTATCATGGAATTGAGGCCTAGGAAACTTACATAAAATTGACCTAGGCATGGGAAATGGGGGTTCTGTATTCAGTCACAAGTGCAAAGGGAAGGAGACACCAAAGCGCTGGTGTCTCCCCAGCAGTTGTCAGGCCTCTTTGGCTACTGGAGCCTCCAGTGGGGGTGGCCTGCTGGTTCCTCTTCCAGCTGCCACCGCACCAACACCTCCGAGGCGAGGCATCAGGTCCTCCAGCTCAGCTCGGCTGAGCTGGCTGAGGCACCACCTGTCCTGTATCATGATCTTGTAAATGATGGATCAGAGAGTAGCAGAGACTAGCACAAGACTTGATCATGAATAACCCTTGCCCTGCCTAAGTTCTGCCTTAAATGGGCTCAAGTATGCCAGATCATCAGGTGACAAGCAGCTGGCTGGACCCTCCATCTCAATCCTACTTCTATTCCTTCCTTACCCAGTACCAATTTCAGCAGAAGCTAATGGACCTTCTGGAAATACTTTGTTCTTCCCTTAGAGTTAAAGCACAAAATGCATAAGTTACCAAAAAGCATACTGCAGAAAAATCTGTTTTGTTATGTTCTTTTGCTTCAGATATCGTCAGATTCTTAGTGGAGTTTCAATTCTATCCCTGTAGAAGTACTGTTTCTAGTTGAGACTGCCTGAACTATCCCTCATTTTTGCCTTCTCTGCTCCCTCCATTACTCTCCTTTCCCTAAAGTTTTACAGACAATTTAGGATAGGTTCAGGCAAAAGAGAGGCTGAAACGTGGCCACACCTAGGTTCCTTTGTGCAATTTTGGTGCTCCCACAGCAGGCAAATGGAGCCCACAGGTGGTCCTGACTGATGAATCCGCTCATCACATCTTCCCCTCACCAGGATGGCCCACAGTGCAGGGCTTCCTAGGAAGACAAGGCCCACATATCTTACTGTTTATATTAAACACAGAAATGGGCAGGGGCTTTTTTTTTTTTATTTTTGAGATTTATCCATTTTTCTAATCTTGAGCTGACCAATGAAAAACTATTTGAATGAATTCTCCCAATATTAAATAATATTTGTCATTTTTCTAATTAAGCACAGAGGCGTTTATAGTTCTGATGTCTTTGACATTTTCCCCGGGACATACCAAACCCTAGAAATGTTTCCAAGAGAACCTGGAATCTGGTTACTCCACTGCCATGTAACTGACCACGTTCATGCTGGAATGGAAACCACTTACACCGTTCTACCAAACGCAGGTGAATATCTGGTTACTAATTATAGAAGCCACATACAACAAGCATAATTAAGATGTACTGCTTTGTCTAAGTACCTCCCCCAATAAGAAGCATTTGTGAACCTGCTGTCTGCGTTCTCTACCTCCTAACATGGTGTGAAAGACTAACCATTTCTTGACACCAGTACTTACAGCCAGACCAGTTGTCTCTAAACAGTTACAATTTGACTGCAATTTGATACAGCATAATTATACATAAAGGGCATAATCACACACCCAATTTTCCTAAAAGCAAGAATATTCTTATATATATGTCTACAATACAATTACCAAAATTAGGAACTTAACAATGATGAAAAACCATGGATCTTTATCAGATCTCACTAGTTGCCCTGATCATGTTTTTTTACAGAGAAATAAAATCCCCTACCTGGGTGGCGCCTGTGGCTCAGTGGGTAGAGCGCTGGCCCCATATACCAAGGGTGGCAGGTTCAAACCCAGCCCTGGCCAAATGGCAATAACAAAAAAAAAAAAAAAATAGCCGGGCGTTGTGGCAGGTGCCTATAGTCCAAGCTACTCAGGAGGCTGAGGCAAAGAGAATCCCAAGCTGTGTGACGCCATGGCTCTCTACCATGGGCGATAAAGTGAGACTCTGTCTCTACCAAATAAAAAAGAAAATCCCCTACCCTGCATGGTTGGCATGTCTCACTTTGGAATAGTTCCTTAGTCTTCGCCTTTCACGATATTACCATTTGGAAGACTATAGGACAATCACTTTGTGGAATGTCCTTTAATTTGGGTTTGTCTAATGTTTCCTCATTTCCTAACCTGATTAGATTCAGGTTATACATTTTAGGCAAAGCTGCCACAGAATGATGTTATGTTTTTTGCAGTATACCAAGCCGGGAGGCACAGGACACGGTTTTGTTCCATTAGGTTATATAACTTTGAACATCCGGTTAAGGCGGTGTGTGCCATGTTTCTCTATAAAGTTATTTTTCTCGTTATAATTAATAAGGATCTTATAGGGAGGAAAGTAAATTTTTAAAAAGCAATGCAAAAATAAGAGATTTTTAAACATATAAAAAGTAAAAAAATATAAATTTATATAAATAAATCATGATTAAACAAAGTAGCATTTTAAAATCAGATCACATTTAAAGCAGCATCTAATAATTCTCTAGTCATATTAATTATATTAATCATATAATAAATATTATTTTTAATAATGGTCTTAAAATTTCTTTTTCTATAGAGACCAAGTCTGGCTGAAAAGAAATAAATTGGTGATAAATGGAAAAAAAAAAAAGAGAAAAACCAATGACTCATAATAATGTATGTGAAAGTGTTGAATAGAATGTTTACTTTGGAATGACTATAAACATTAAAAAAAAAAAAAGGAATGAAAACTTACAACTTGGTGCATTTGTGAGGGAAGCCGTGTTGTCCTGCTGTGGATGGGAAGAGCAGCAGACTGTACGATCCACGGCTGACACGGGTACACTAGGTAACAGCATTGATTCATACAGACCACTCAGACTACCATTATTGTGGCTTTACAAGAGTGCGTTAAAAAAAAAAAAAA